CCCCCCTCCCCCACGTCACGCGGCTAACCTAACCTTCCAATGCTTTTGGTATAGGACCGTCACGCTAGCGTAGACCCCCCCATCCCCCCCAAACGCGTGACGTAATATGTGGACGACCCCTTACCCCTAACGGGTTCACATGCGAGCACCCACATCCCTCTATATCCTACAATTCGTTCTTTTTGTCGCGGAGCGCGCCGCTCGGATGTGGCTCCGTTCCTTCTTCCCCCGCTGACCACTCCCTTCTCCACAACTATTACTCTTGCTACCCCGTCGGGGTTGGCCTCGAACCAATCGCGGGTATACGGGAGACTCTGAAAGCACATTCTTTCGTCTGCAATACTCTCGGTCCTGCTCCTGCCCGCAGCGCCCCCGGGCTGCCTCCAGTACTACCAGGAGACGACGGGCAGCGTCGTCAGCTTCAACTACGGCGTCACGGCGGCCACGACCATGGGGGCGAGTAAGTAATAGTCCGACGATCACGCGATGCATACGCCCTGTTCTTCTGACTGACTGTCCGCGTCCGCTCGCAGCTCCCATCGGCACCCGCGAGATCGCCAACCTGGACTACACGGCGTGCGTGCGGCCCGCGGCCGGATACTGCTCCATCGAGTGGAGCCAGCCCACGGACGACCCGTACTCCTTCACCGTGTCCGGGGACACGTCCGTCGTCGACCCCACCCTCCTCGGTGAGCCCGAAAAAAATTGAAAGAACGGCAAATGCCGTTGCTTGGTGAATCGCGTTTCGCGTCACAGTTGATTGGCTTTGTAGCGTTTGCCAATCGTGAATGGTGCGTTCTACAGGGACCCCGACGGCGGCCGTGTCCGGCGTGACACCCGCGACCGCCACGGCGGCGGCCACCCTGGCCTGCGACGGCGACTACGTCATCATTCCCTCCCCCATCCAGAACATGATTTACACCGTGGGCGACCGCTTTTGTGGCAACGGTTTCGTCACAACCACGAGTGAGTGTCCAAGATCACCGCGAGGGTGACTCAAGGGTGACCTCGAGGGGTAAACCCTTAGGATTAACCTTAAGGGTTCATTTCGAGGAGTATCCTTGAGGAGTAACCTCGAGGAGTACCTCGAGGAGTACCTCGAGGAGTTACCTAACCTCGAGGTTTACCATCGAATGATAACTCTTAAGAGTAACCCCTAACCCTTCGTAGTCAATAAGTCGAGATATGGACATCGCTTCACATACAACTTGTCCTCGTACCGCAGGCGTCAGCAAACCGTTCTACCTCGGCGTCCACACCAACAACACCGAGGCCGGGTTCCCGGCCGCCGGCATTCTACCGGACATCGCCAACCGGGGCTTCCACCTCAACTACCGACAGCTGCCTTGTCCGATATTCTAGCCAACGGCACCCCCACCTTCCCCCCTCCGCAAAAAAATGTGTACACCCGACAATAAATTATTTATTTATTCTTTTATCAATGGCGGCAGTGATAGCACCGGAAGTCACCCTGCTGCCCAGACCGCGCGGCGGCCATGCAAATCCCTTCACTGCCGCTCGGATCAACCTATATTTTGTCGTCCAGGCAATAACTGTACCGCTTCCCACACGAGCGGCCGCTCCTGCCGTCCAGTATACAGTACACAACCATGCAAAACGGGACGCGGGGGCGAAGCCGAGTGAATCTGTTTATTCCATCGGCCGCAGGGCATAAAGTCACATCGCATCGCGGGGTAGCCCAATGGCCCGGAAACAGCAGAAGCAGCAGCAAGGGGCCAGCGGGTCCGGCGGAGGGACGCTACGTGTTGGGATGCGTACGGGGCGGCAGAGCCACCGCGCCATACCGATAGGTCCTTGGTAAACACCCTGAGACAACCGTTTTTGGGTCCGTTCTTTCTCTTTCAGAGGTGGACGCTGTTGGTTGGCATCGATGGTGGCAAATACACTGGGGCGGGGGTGGTGCGAGCCGAGCCACCAGCCGAACTATCTATCAGATAACAAAATCCATACTGCGTCGCGCCGCGACTCGGCGAATAAAGCATTCCGGTGAAGGTAAAATGCAGAAAAATGCGATGGGGCAGAAAACGAAAAATCCCTATGATTTTATACACGGGACTTCCCTTTTCTTGTTCTCCGCATTCTTCTGCATTTCAGCTTTACCGGAATGCTTTATTCCTCCCGCCCCCATCCCATACGAGCACATCAAGAAGTGCGTATTGGTGCAGCTCACCGTCATGACGCCCGCCCCCCTTGTGGTGCTGCTGGTCGCGTGGCGGCGCGTGGCCGCCTGCTGCCTGAAAGGAGAGGGGTCGCGCCCCGCCCCTGCCCCATGCCAGACGGGTCTGCGCGGGGGCCTCGGCCCCAGAGGCCTCGGCGGCGGCGCACACATGTGCAGCGCGCGTGGTGGTGGTGATGGGCCCATGGGCCCCCACAGCAGCACAGCCCGCCACCAAGGCCCTCATGCTGCCGACGCGCCACGCAACGCCAGGACAAACAGAATGTAATTTCGCGTCCCATTTTATTTTACGACATTTCTCGTATAAAACGCGTCTAACACACACACACTGCGTGCGAAGAGCGTTGAAAAAAAATTTGCCAACGATTTATGAGAATGTGAGACGAGGCGTCGAATGCGTAAACAGATGACGATTCCATTATATGGTGTACATTCGACGCATCAAAAAAACAACAAAAAATTCCCTCTCCTCCCGTCTGACGCTGTTAAGCTCCCGTTTTTTCCCTGTCCAGCAACAAGGTTTTCTGTGAGAGGTCTGGCGTAGCGGTGTATACATACATGTAGTAGTAGTAGTACTAGCACTGTATGGCGAAAGAAGAAGGGAGAACAAGAGAAGGGGAGGTGTTGCCGTGGCGGCGGGGAGGGCGTGAGGGCGATAACGCTCTTAGAGAGATGGCGGCGGGCGCGCTGCGTGCGCAGCATCTGCAGTGCAGCGTGTGCTCCCCGGTCCGGCATCGACACGGCGCCGACTTCTCCCCTTCCCCGCGTTCTGTCTGCCTCCGTCTTCTCTGTCTCTCTGATTGCGTGTGCGCGTGGACTGATTGTTGACGAGGCGTGTGGTAGTAGTTGGAGGAACTCACTCACTTGTGATGTTTCAATGAGATTTTATTTCGGGTACCTAATGCTTCCTGTGTTTCCTTTTTCCTTTTTTTCTGCGTTGTTTCACATACGCCGTGTTCCACAATTCCACCATTTTTATGGAGGGTGATTTTGACGTGGCGAATTACCCCCCCCCCCCTTCCCCCGTCTCCTCGCTCGTCCAAATCCGAGAGGGCAATTCTTTACGTGAAAAGAAAAGGTGGCCGACTTCACACATGCCACGCACGGCGGAGGGCCGCTGGCCTCGGGGATTGGGAGGAGGAGGACGTTGCGAGGAGGAAGAGGAGGAGGATGAGGGGAAACCAAGGAGGAGGGGGAGCAGGTGCACTGGGCCAATCCATGATTGTGGTCACCGCACAGGCTCAGCCGGCTGGCCCGGCAGGCCTGTCGGACCAAAACATCCTGGCCGCCCGGTACAGCCTGGCGGCCCAATCTGTACCAAAGCGGGGCGTGGCGTGGCGTGGCGGCGGCAGGTGCGAGACCTCGAGGGTCCTGGGCTGCTGCCCCCCCCCCCCTCTCCACCTTTTGCTCCGCTCACCTGCCCTCTGCTCCTCTCGGCGGCGGAGAAGGGGCGATCGTATGCACCTGCGCGTGTCCACGCCACCCCACGCCACGCCAATTTCCACTCCATCGTCGCCACACGACGAGCAGACGATTGGGTGGGAGGGCGGTGCTGTTGGCGATCTCGGTCTGCAACATGAGCGTCGCCGAGCAGCCCAACGCGGTGCTCGTGCCGGCTCCCTCCCCGGTAGCACCCGTGAGTGGCGCCGCCCCTCCGCCGCAGAGGAAGATGTCACTTACCGCACATTCCTCGTTGCGCCTCGGCGAAACCGGGCGGCAACGGCGGCACTGGCGGGTGAAAATGCAAGTGCTCACTTCCGCAAGACGTCCAGTCCCTTCGGAGCCGAGTGAGACGTCACGCGGACTTGCTCGGTGCTGCTTGTGGTGCGGTGCGGGGAGGAGAGCCACGCACGCGGCAGTTCTGCACTATCGGATGCAGTCGGGGTCTACCAGTAATATTT